TATTGTTCATATGACTATAAAGAAAAAAAAATAAAAAAATAATAATAATAATAAAAAAAAAAAACGATTTATGAAGGCATTTTAGTAATTGCATATATTTTTTTTTTAAGAAAAAAGGAAAATGAAAAAAATGAAGAAGTTGATTTAAAAGAAAAAAAATCTTAACAAAAAATTGACGTGGGAGCTGACTCTTCGAGATGTGCTCGGCTACGCCACCAGAGCCACTGACATCCTCCATCGCCGCCTTGCGTTCGTAGAAAAAATTGACGAGAGCATCACGCATATCAAGGCGCGCTTCATTCTGCACGTAGGTCTCGTTGTGGGCTCCGCGACGGGCATCGTCGGAGAGGAGGTGATCGACTCGTTTAACCTCGACCGCGTTAGGGAGACATCCAATCCCCTTGCGAGTGTGCATAGAAAAACTAACCTCACGCTTCATTTCCAATCCCATGTTCCTCAGCCTCTCAAGCTTGGTTAGGATCACCGAGTTGAAATCGAGTATGTCCCTTCGCCTCAGTTCACAACACTTTAAGCCCAACTTGGCTTGTGAGAGGGCCGCCTCGACTGGCCAGTCCCCAACTGTGCGGTCGAGCACACCCACGAGCTTACCTTAGTTGATCGCGGTCTCAACATGGTGCGAGAGGCCCATGGCTATCCGTGTGGATTTGTAGCAGCATAATCCCGAACGTGTAGACGTAGAATTTGGTCCTAACCATGCCCGAAGGTAGACGGCAGTTGCGGATAGCCGGGCTAGTGTCGAACAATGTACTGATCGACGGTCGGCGCTCTGAACGTCAAACCGCTGCTACCTAATCGAGCACTAGAGGGGGTTGTGCGAGATGTTTGTGGGCTGAGTGTCAGGCTGAGCCCTGCGAGTGGGGTGTCGAAAACGACATGCATTGATGATCGGAGGCGCAACCGGTAAGGAAGATGACTGGAATGGTGAATGAACAATTAAAGTAAGGTCGTGAGGTTCAACCGACGCGTTTCTGGTCGATGGTTGCTGGCTGAAGGCTGTTTGTAGAGGACCGACCGGAAACTTGTTTGTGCGCGACATGGCTAACCCCTGCGTGGTTGTATTTCCCAGCATTTTCCGATTGAAGGCATCAGTTGGATGCCATAGCGACGTGTTGGCCAGTTTCTGATCGATGGTTGTCAAGCTGCTTGGACACACAGAGAGAAGGTTGCAGGCTTGCCGATGGTTGTGTTCACAAACTGCGGATATCTGGACATGGGTCACTGAACAAGGATGGTTGAACTGGTCGGCGTGAAGGGTTTGGCCGGAGATTTCACCGGACTTCATGTCTGACCGTTCGTTTTTCATTTTTTTTTTCTTGCCATTTTCAAATAAAATGTACGAAAACCCTAAAATCCTTGTGACCCAATTTTCTTTCTTTCTTTTTTTTTTTGGACTTGTTTTCAATTCTGGTTTCATATGACAAAGTGACAAACCCACATAATTCTAAATAGGATTTGTAAAAAAAAGTTATATGTTAGATGCACAAAAACCTTATCAACATTTTCTCCCTTGTTTGAATTTAAACTATTATCATTATTATCGCGTATATCACACCATGTAGAATTTGATAAGTTGAAATGATAAAATCTGGTGACCCATATATTAGTTGTTATAGATATCTTGTCCGTCAAGTGCAATATGATAGATAAACTGAAAATCGATAAAAGTAATAAGGAATGTGATGTAGCCAAAGCGTGAACGAATGAGAAGAATACGAGATACTCTCTCGAACTTGGGATACTCTCCCGAAAGAACATCAACAATTTTAATTCATTCTCCAATTCTCCCAATACAAAGCAGAATGAGCCTTTAAACAAGACTCTAACCCTAAACATAACTTATTTTCCAAGCTGCTACTACTACTACTACTACTACTACT